AAACAGTTTTATTCTCCAATATTAACGAGACTACATATACATATTTATATTTAAATGAAAAAATAACCTTATAATGATCACGGCTAAATTTAGCATGTTTGAATGTTGGTAATTATATTAAACTTGTATAACATTTTGTCTCGTGGTATCCATTAAAAAAAATGTTCTAAGAAATATAAAACATGTTAACGTCTTGCAATAAACAAAGCAATTTTTAGTGGCTATATGTGAGGTTTAAAGTTTTCGATCAATATCGTAACTTATGACTATCTTGTATTGTCAACTACTAGTGACTCGCCGCGGTTTCGCACATATAAAAAGGCAGGACTGTTAGCCCATTGTGGTGAATAGATCTGGAATTAGAGGTTTCGGTGCGGAGGGGGGGGGGGGAGGGCATGGAAAGGTCGACCTGTTTGGGTGTATTGCCCGCAATGGGGCTATTAGATTATATTTATATGAATATAATACTAATATAAAATCATTGTATATTATTGTATGTATATAAATAAGTCTATACATGTGTAATATTTAAGAAAAAATGATATGAGGGGGTCTTAATCAAAACAATAATTTTAGGAAATTTTATCTGTTTGTCTATCTGTACATTTATTCCGTCATTACACAAAAGTTACTGCACCAAAATGAATGTTCCTGAAGGTTAAATTTAAAATCTAGTGTATATTTTATTTTCATACGCCGTCTATACTAAAAGTTATCTATTTCAATGATTTACCTACTTCTGAAATCCATGTGTACGAAACAGCGAGTAGAAATGCTGGTGAAGGATAAATATTCATCTTATGAACCCATGAAAGGTACAATGGGCATTATAGTGACATCCATAGTGAGACTCATGTTTATACAATTTTATCATCATCACCATCACACCAGCCTTTAACTGTCTACTGCTGAACATCTCCCTGAATGAATGTCTCCCTGGCATCCCAATAGTTGCTATTCTATGTTTTATAAAAGGAATCATATTTGTCTAGTAGCTTAATCGTCAAAAAGTCAAACTTACATCTTCCTTTATAATGCAAGTAGGGGCGTATGCACTAATGGATTTCGAATGCCGCACTTTAAACCAAAGCCTGATATTGCCTTTAAATTATTTATGAGCTAAACACCAAGGTGGTATTCAACGTATACATAGTTATTCATGACGGTTAAGCTGAGTAGAGGGTAATGTAGAATTAATACATTTAGTGTATATCGTAAAGGAAGTTAATGAACGACTGCAACTTTAAACCACTTTATGATACTAATGATACTTATTGTTAATATAATAAAAATGGAAAAATTTAATACATTTTTGTCTTAGCCTTGATAATTTTCTTGGCACCTACTACGAATTTGTCGGAAATTTCAGAGCAGAACGAAAGTCAAATTTAATTTAAAATTTGACTTTCGTTCTGTTCTGAAAAAAATTAAAAATTATGTTATCAAAAATATTCTGACAGAATGATATACTTTTGGTAGTTCGGATACTGAGAAAAGTATATTATATAATGGAGTGACACTGACGTGCCTGATGAACAGTAGTCGGACCGCAACGTCCGTCTCTATCTACTGGTCATATTTTAGTATGAACGTGGTACTGTGAAACTACATGTACTAAATATGGACTTGAATTAGTTCGGTCTTAACTGTCATCCCCTATTTCACCTCTTTAGGGATGAATTCTTCAAAATCCAATAAATATATTAATTTTAGTTTTGAATTAAGAACCCAAATGTAACGTTTCAAGAGCCTAACTTATACTAATAACATGTGAATACATACTTTTGTTTAAAAATTTAAAAACGCACGCACATAGGCACAAAAGCACGCACGCCCTCACGCACGCACGCACGCACACACGCTCACATCCATACCTATACGTGTTTGCTTATTAACTAAAAACGTGACTGTGATGTTAGGCCTGATATTCTCAATTTCATTAAAGAGAACTAACTAACTTTAAAATTAGTTTCCGGAAATTAATTCACATTATTAAATTAGTTTCCGGATGTGTTTAAAACTAGTATCATAATGTAATCCGGCGTTATAAACGGCAGTGTTGTGACGGAGTTAGAATACATGATGTAGATACGTATTTTGATCTCTTGGATATTGTAAAAGATTATTAAGGGTATAAAATATACTACTCCAGTGGCAAGAAAGAAAAAATCTAATTACGACTATACCAAGCCACCAAATTGATAATAGTGGGCTAAGATCATCCATGCCTAGCAGTGGATCGATAATGGGCTGTAAAATCATTTTTGCTTAGTACTCAGTTTTGTGTTATTACAAATTGAAATCCGCCATGTTGTACGGTCAGCACTTCTTGAGTAGGTATCGATTACGCGAGCTTTCTGCAGAGTTCATACTTTTTATTCAATTTATTCCCTTTTGATTATAAAATCGGTGATTAAAACAATGAAATAGTATAAGATACTGATCTGCAACTAAAACTTACTAAGATAGTATAGGAGCGGCACAAGAGTTATCGAGATCTATTATAAAGAATAAGAAGACTGCGTCGCGTATTGTATACACAAAAAAATCAAATTAGTAACCTCATCTTATTCAAATTGTTGAATAATTACTGAAGTTTGTCAGAAACATAAACCATCTTTTACATTTATCTGCGAGTACTATTATATCAAATTAAAAAGGGACCTAATAAATGTTCAAAACCTCTATTAGTATTTAAGTAGGATGATATTTATCATAATTCCATTTAAAACTATCAAAGGATAAGTCAAAACTATATTGGCACTTAATACTAAGTTTCGAAATAGAATTATCCACAACTATGAAAGTTTAGCTTGTCCAATAAACTTATTGAACAGAGACAGCGCACAATAATTAAATTCTTGACACGCGCAAGCAAAACGTTTTGACCCGATTTCGTGGTGCTAGTGATAACTGTGATCCAATTCCCAAATCAATTAATATCTGGCCAGTGAGAAACAATAAGTGACCAGATTCGTAGTTACGAACTGGTATTGAAAGTGCAAAACTACACGAAGACAACTGTAGCTGTGGCAAATTTTCCACCGACTTCAAATTGAAGTAGATTTTTTTGAGATTGTTTCCCAAAAAAATATTATTATATTTGACAAAATATGTTATTAATTTACCGATTTAAATAAATAAATAAAAGATGACTTATTAATTTAAAAACATTTGCTAAACTATCGCAGAAAGTTAGTTTTAGAGAATGACGCTTCGGAATCGATCTCGATGTCGCTGTATACTCGTATATCACACTATATCTACAAATCATGTTGTACATAAATTAACGTACTTAAACACGCTTAAGTTCCGGTTTATCTATGTAATTGTTAAAATTTGTGTACTTTGTATATGAACATAGGATTTACTTTTGCTAACACAAGACAAAATTTATCCTTTTCACATAAATAGTTTCTTGACTACTACGGGGGAATTATGGGACCCAAATTATAAAGGGTACTACATGTCGAACCCAGTCAGAGATACAGATAACATAATAAAAAAAAACTAATAAAAATTACAAATATATATAAGTCTGATTAATAAATCATACCCAAGACTAATGTTGAGACCTAATAAATTGAGTTTCTTACTCATACATACATCATCATACATACATCATCATCTATCTTAATCAAAATCTCTGTTTGAAATCTATGTTTTTTATGTTTTACTTGAACGATTAAGCTCAGTTCAAGTTTCAATTTATTAAATAGAACAATTATTTTTTATTTAAACTAGAATGGCAAATAAGCCGATGTAAAATGGTAACCGTTGTCCATAGACATGAATAACTATGAATATAACAGAGTGTCACTCATGATACTTCTCATGCGTTTCCAGGAGGAAAGGGACTGTAAGTAATGCGGACTACCGGTTTCATTACTAGCAATACACCCTGACAGGTCGTCCCTCTGGGAACCATCGTACTGAATTTCAGACATATTCATCGCGATAAACTAACTGGCCTACCTTTTCATTCTCACCTATCATCTCTCGCTGATGCCCCGTCAGCGTATATCGTTATCGTAGGCGAGTTTAATATTCCATTATCATCCATTAACTACTCATGCGTTAGCATTACTGAGGACTAAGGTATTATGCCTTTGTATCCTGAAATTTCACTGCCATATTCTACCTTTCAAACTGCAAACTACAGTCATACAAACACAACTGCTCCACGGCTAAAATACGAATGCAGAAGTAAACAAGCGGACGACTTTTGTATAAAGCTTCCTTGTGGTGAATAATTTAAGTTCATTAAATGTATATTTAAGGTTACTCTTACTCTAAATGTAAATTAATTGATAAGAGTTTAAGACTTGAGCCATGAGAATAAATAGCCTTATACTCGAGATTCACAAAATAAAACCATATTTTAAAAAGTAAATAGTAGTAGCTGTACCACTGTTTGCTTCTTAAACCATAGTTTTATTGTAGCTAAAGGTGTTGACTTTTTGCATAATCCAAACTATTACTATTTAACTTGCATTGCTTATTCGTACTGAAACGGATACATTCTGGTACTGGTTTCGCTTCAAATTCTTTTCTCCTATATTCTTCATGGTTCTAGAACGCACTTCCTGATACCATTAAGATACTACCGAGTAAACCGCCTTTAAAAAAAAGTTCACACTCACTTTTCTATTTTATCCGAGCAGTAAGTACTTTATATATATTATTCTCAATTTTGTGTATAATAGAGTTTATTTTATATATGTCTAAATATATTTGTTATTTATATATATTTATTCGTTTGTATTTGTAATTTTAGTATGTATGTATATCAATAATTACTAGTACCGCATTCGAGTATTCTGACGCTTCCCTATAGTTGATTGGGAGAGAATGCTTTTAGCATTAAGTCCGCCATATACACATACATGTACTATATAATGAATGAATAAATAAATAAATACATCTAGACAGTCGCGTTGTCATGTTTATTGGATGACTGATATGAAAAACTTCTTTACACTATGATAATAACATCTTACCTTCCTGTTGCTTTTAAAAACATTGCACTTAAAAACATTGGTGGCACCATCACGGGCGATATAAGAGAATATCTTCAGATCGGAGCTGTCGTGGGACACATAGAAGATACGGTAGATCGGATGATGCATTATCTCTGTACCGTCGTTACTTATACTGTTTTTGGTGCTTCGACTAAATAACTTCGAACTTGAGCTTTTCTGAAACAAATTAATATCTTGTTACTTATAATATAGGTATAGAAATAAATATAGTATGACAAACTGTATTTGTACAAATGGCATATACTAAGTGGCGATCTCTGTGGTCCAAAAATACCTATTAAAACTAAAGGCAGGGTCTATGAAGCAGTTGTAAGACTAGTTTTACTCTATTATAGCGAAACGTGGGCTTTAATGAAAAGTCATGAACAAAACTACATTGTGACACTGAAATGTGCATATTGCGTTGGGCGGGTGGAGTTACTTTTAGATATAAATTGTGCAATTATATGTATACGGGGTAGTTTTAGGGTTGCGCCTATAGCATATAAAATTGCAGAGTCTAAGCTATGCTTGTACAGATATGTATTGAGGGGACTCAATTGTTAGGTTGTGAAGAAATGCCTTTCTATGGTTGAAAATAAGAGAAGACGAGGTAGGACACAGATTCAAATGGCTCGCAGATGTCAAATGTCCTGAAGGATATGAAGGTTCGGACTAACCAATAGTGATACATAGCAAAACAAATGGCGCAGTGTGATTACGAAAGTCGACCTCGCGTAACGGAAAGAGGCGATGGAAAAAGAAGAAGCAAAGTATAGTTGCGTTTTCCGCCTCGACGATATCATTTTATTTTTATCATGTAGGAATGACTTAATTCTTTTGAAAGAAATCTACATGAATAAGTAGTTAATCGACTCTATAAATAAGCAGAGTAATATTTCAATAATTTGCATCGTTTTAAGAAAATGTTTTATCAGAGAAACTAAACATTTTCCCTAAGTATCATGTAACAAAAATCTTAGGCCTGACAAGTATATATAATAGGCCTGATATGTTTGCTGTGTGGTCCGTGCTCAGAATGAACTATCTTTTCCATTCCTGTGTGTATCTTAAAAGGTGACTAGGGAACTTAATGGTCGAGAGATGGACAGCTGCGTCCCTCTTAAAATATTTCCAAAGCCTAACTGCGGTTGCCAATCCGCCTGCCAAACGTAGTAACCATTGGAAAAACTCCTCTTATGCGGGCGATTATGTTCAGCAGTGGATAATCAACGGCTGTTATAACAATAATAATAATGGATTTTATGATATTACTCCTGCAATTATATTATATTAGTGTACAGAATAAATAACCTAAATTCTATAATTATGGATAACTAAATGTTAATCTAAAAATAAGTTACTATTACACTATTCTTTCATATCTTTTAATTTCGTATTTTCGAGCCTTATATGTTAAAAATTATGAGAACGTTTAGTTCGGAAAATGAAAGGACTTCCTAACGTACTGAACGGGAAGGGAGTTTTGAAGTTTATAGTACTGATTAATTAGTTTTAACAAACCAACGGGTAACGTTAATTGATCACGCAGATAGTTCAATAGATATATATGCTATAGGGATATTCTTTTACAAAATTCAGTGTCATTGTAATATTACGTATTAAAAAATAGGTACTTAATAAAACAAAAAAAAATAGGAAAGAATAAAATTAAACGTGTTTTAAAATTATATGTGTTTATATTTAAAAAAAAAAAAGTGTATTTACGTGTACTATTACAACACGATTTTGGAGAACTGGTTTAATACAATTTTTAATACAATTTTAAAAACTTTATTTACAAGTTTCATCACCCTATCAATGGAATGAAAATAAAGTAATTAGTATTGTATTGTAAAATCTTTATTGTACATTATTTACAATTCATTATTATTTATTTTACAGTATTGATAATACATATAATAAAAATAAACTTATATTAATGAATACAAATTAATATCTGCTTATTTAAAAAAAATACACCAAGACAAAGGTTTCTTAGTAGTCTATATTACCAAAGGTAAATAGATATTTAATATTATTGGTATAAGGTCGAAGTTTATTTCAGAAAGGCACGCGCAACTTGTTTTTCTGTAAAGCGTCTGGAGCTGCCATAAAGGCGATATGATGCACAGAAGGGTATGAAATAGCTCTCAATTAGCCCTTAGCTCTGCTAAGCCTTAATTGCAAACCATCACGTGGGAACACCGATAACAAGTAAGCCGCTGTTCTATGTATTTTTCATATACAGAAACGTAATAATCTATGTTTATACATATAATAAAACTATATATAGACCATTTTAATGCACGCTTCACGTAAAAGCTACTGGGCGAATTTCTATGAAATTTTCTGTTTTAATAATACCTAATTCTATTTAATATATGATATTTATCACTATAGTAAAATATCCAAAGAACCCTTAGTAATACTACTTTTTTGTACAGTTCTTTTTATTTGGAATTACAAGAATTCGACAAGCGATCGTTGTAAACAGAGCTAATAGAAAATAATATTTCATAAGTTCTTAGTTTAGTTAGATCTTTATAAGAAAGTAAAAAAAGGAAATATGAATATTACAGTACATTTATTAGTAGAATCTGAGCTCGTTTAAATGTAATTACATACCATCATCAGAGACCAGCGATAACAACACAAAGAATTACTAATGCTACCAGAGCGGCTTGTACTAAGTCCTACTTTTCAGTCATAACGCTGAAATATCCAAATAAAATTATAATATGTAATTATAATTTTATAAGGCTAACGAAGGCTAGTTGGTAATTAAAAATAAATAAGTAGTTGCTGCTAATACGATTCTGGGTTTCTATTTTAATGGGATAAATGTTTTACTTGTTTTTTTTTTCGTAAAGTAGCAATTCATGTGATTCTTGAACATTAATAATTTATCAAATATGCAAACGAAAAAACCATATTATATAGTAACTGTTTGCTCATTACCTCATAAGTGTGAAGTTCAGAAGTACAGATACCAATTAAATAGACTATTTTTAGATGGCACATCAAGATAAAATACATACCAAATTTTAAATTAAACACACATGTGACAACTACATCCAATTTAGTGCAGTATTTTTTGCATGATTAGTTTTATATAATTTTTTCTTAAATATTTTCCGTGTATAGATATCGTCTAGTAATATTTTTATTATATCTGTAATATAAAAACCCATTTACTGTGGCTCTGCAATTCGAGAACAAGTCCATTGTCATCTCCAAAAGTATTGGGATTCTCGGTATCGACATCTTCAGCACTGTAGACTTCCGAGGTCATCTAGAAGATAAAGTAAAACTCGTGCCCAAAAAGCTCAGGGTGCTCTATAGAGTTAAACAGTACTACACCCGAGACAAAAACTATTGTTGTACAAGTCACAAATCCGGTACCTCATGGAGTACTGCTCTCATGTGTAGGCTGGAGTACCTGGATACCAGCTTGGGCTTTTTGACAGTTCAAAGACGGGCTATGAGAATTGTTGACGATCCCAAGCTCACAGGCGGTATCGAACCCTTAAGTGTAAGACGAGACTTTGCTTCTCTTTGTATATTCTATCGCTTGTATACTGTGTTCTGAGAAATTGTTTGAAATGATGCCTACAGGAACCTTTTATTATCACAATGCTCGCTATCGACAGGGAATTCAATCTCACACGCTTGAACCTAAATGGTCATGTACAGTGCGGTTTTAGAGAAATTTTCACCCGCGAACGTTTAGGCTGTGGATTGAGCTCTGCCGAGATTTTCCATAGATACTACAATATGGGATTTTTCAAAAAGGATATATTAAATTTTCTTCAAGGTCGGCAATGTGTACGTGTTGCCCCTAGTGTCGCAGGCGTCTATAGGCTACAGTGACCGTTTACCATTAGACGGATTGTATGCTTGTTTGCCACCTTTGTGATATATAAAAAAAAAAAGATGACAATCCTCTGGACTAGCAATACAGAAAATGAATGATAATGACACTGTATTTTATGATCACTAATGCCCATGGTATTGGTCATGACTACAGCCGAAAGATACTATTCTCCATAAGTAGTTACAAGAAACATAACTGTATTAATAACATCAGAAAAGACAAGAAGGATTTTATTAATCTTTTAAATCAATGTACTAAGTGACATTTAAAAAAATAACCAAGGTACAAATATGTATGAAGAGTTAAATTAATATGTAATTTTGCAATAAAAACTAAAAAATATAATTGAAAACAAAGTATTTTTGATCAAAAAATAAATATAATATAACTGCATGTCTTCCAGAAATTTCAACTATATAAATAAAATACTTATTTTAATTTATTCCTATCTATAGTTTATGTTATAAAATATCATAAAGATAATGAGGTCGCTTCTGAGACGTTATTTTTCTAAACCAGAGGTTCCCAAAGTTTCAAAATTTAGATGGTCCCGGTGGATTCCTTGCAGCTACATTTCTACCATATTTTCAAAACTCGACAAAAATGTGAAGATTAGATCTAACTATGGAAATTTGCGTTCCAACCACGAATTAAAAGTTTTCGGAAGAAAAGTGAGAATTGATCGGTGAATTAATTGATTATACAAGTAACAGCCGCTGAGATTCTTAAAATATTATCTACATACATTGATGATAGGTGAAGTAAAGCCAACATTTTAGTGCTTCATTATCGAAAGCAAATAAATTTTCGTGGACTCCCGCTAACGAATTGTGAACCCCCATTTTATCGTCACGCTTACATAGACCCCTGTTAAGTCTCCTGTGGATCCCTAGAGGTTAACCTGGACTATTTTGGGAGCTATATCTTTAAACCTATCTCTAATATATAAATTTCAATTTAATATTACAGTGAAATCTTTATTGTAAGAAACAATATGAACTAATTTTCTAATAAATTTTAGTCACAACCATTATAATTTTAGTTTATGGTCGTCTATAAAACAGTAATTTCGCGAAATTATCAAATTAAAATACTAGGTTAAGAGATAAATTTAGAGAAATGGTACCTCAGAATTAGCCCTATTATTTTACAAGTTCAATATTTTAAATAATGCGATCTGACAGTGATTAAATTCTACCCAAGAGTAACAAAAATAATTATATTTTTATGCACATTTACATTAAAAAGTTCAAAATAAAATTACCATTCAAATCAAATAATTATGAGTATTAAAGACACTAAATATATAAAAGTTTAATTTGACAGTAAACCAAATTATGATAAATAATGTGCGTTTATATTTATAAAGAGTTATACAATATTTCTAAAATATCAAAAATTTCATAATTAATTTTAGAATTATATAAAGAATTTAAATGTGATTGTTTTTAATGGATAAATTCAAAATGACTGAACGGATTTAAAAAAAAATATCAACTATAGTAAGCAACATTGTCAGAGAATAACATAAGCTATATATTATTTTCGGAAATTTTATCTACTCGTGCAAAGTTGGACCGGTTCGCTACTTATGTATATATTGTATATTAAAAATCATTTCTACCAATCGATATCGATGCTTTATGGAAAACTATATATATTTATAGCACCAGAAAGTCATTTATAACGTTCTTTCCAGTTACAAAATATATTGAACGTTAACAAAAAATGCAATTTAAATTATTTTAAGTAACTACCATACTAATATTGAATTAATATTTCATGTTGTATGACAATATGAATAATTCGTTATAGATGAAATACCTTAATGAGTAATGTAAAATTTAAATAAATGTATTATTTAGATAAAGATGTTTATAAAAAAATTTAAAATGGCAAAATCTGTCAAATAGATTAAGATTATTCAAATGGGACATCAATAAGTTTGTATGACAAAAGGAGTACCGCGCCTCACTTCACCTGCGGACATGAGATTGACAGCTTTCCATTATGCCTTGATATGATTAATGAATACGCAAAAAAGTTCCCAAGGAGTGTATATAGGATTGTTGTTGTTATTGCAGAGTCGACTTGAATTTGTAATGTTCACAAAATTGATTAAATATAAAATAAAAAAATATATGTATTATTACAGATTATTTTTATTACATTAATACGCATTTTTATTTATTAAAAAATAGTAATAAAAATTGTTCGAATAGCACTCAGTAAATTGTATATACTCAAGAATAAGGAATGCTTGATGTAAAAAACTGCAAGTAACACAGCGAAAAAATTTTATGACCAATGCAAAGTCGTAAGGGACTCTCATATCCGGAAACGCACGGAACTTGTAGACATTCTTGACGTTTTTACTACATGACAAGACAGGATATACCAGCGGTAGATCAGATAAAAAATTGGAGACCCATAAGAACGTATACCTTCAATCAGCTAGATAGTTCTATAATATTACATATAGACATATACACAGCCTTTTAGATATCTAAGATTATAAGTATATGCATGCTATGGTACTCTCATGATGTTATTGTTCACATTTGTTGTTTGTGTTATATCTCCATAAATATTAATTTCACTGCTTACTTTCAAATCGAACAGTTCTCATGTTAAAGAAGTCTTTGTAAGTTACTTATAGTATATAGTCTACTCAGAAGAATATACCGCATGTAATGTTTGTATGATAGATGGAAGAAATCAGTTTAAGTTGGTTAACTTCTATTTCTCGTTATCAATATAAAAAAAAAAACCTGAATAGTTTAAACGACTTACATAAACTAATCATCATCTTATGAGCTTTTAACTGTCCACTGCTGAACATAAGTCTACCCCTACGGTGGTTTTGGCAGTAGTTGCCACACTTGGCAACTGTAGTTTGGCTTTGAAGATGTTTGAAGAGGGACACTGCTGCCTATTCCTTGTCCTCTCTTAGTTGCCTCTTACGACACCCACGGCAAAGAAAGGGGTAACCTATTATATACCACGCGGCATAAACTAATAATCTGCTAAAATTTTGTTAAAGTACACGTAAATGTGTAAACATAATAGATACAAAGTAAACACTAAATACTTTATAGCTGTATTATTAATGTAGGTATATACTCGTAGGTAGAATAAATACTTTAAGCCATAAAGTATTTATTCCATCTATATTATTACTTTATGGCTTAAAGAACAATAAATAAGCGCCGTCAAAGTCTAAAGTAGTCACACGACATACATAGTTGGTAATGTTTGTTTGAAAATTTTGTAACTTTATTTTCCGTTAGACTAGCGACAATATTACCCGGGAAGTTACAATTACTATTGGACTGGGGTTGGGTTGACTACAGAATGCGAATCGAACCTGCAAATGGATCTCGAAGTTTTCAATTTAACTTTACATTGAGTTTAAGGTGTGCAAATGCATGCAAATTTTTATCATGAATACAAAGGACGTTTTGCGAGCAAATATCCTCAGTTTAGAACAAACATTATGTACAAACTATGCTACTGATTTATAAGTAAATAATTTCTTTATTTTCTTCTCAACAAAGAAGTCCAAAATTCGTTTGTTACGTGATATTTTCACAAATTGTGAATAAGTTGTGATTTTTTTTTCTGTAAAATAATTGAGCTCTTGGTATCTTAGTATTTTTTTAAAGCAAAACATATAATCTTTAGTTGGTTGTGAATATAGAAAGAAAGATAATTTTCTCATCTGATCTCATCTTTAACTCCTTTAGAAGTCATAAGATCAAAATATTTCATGTTTTATTCATTTTAATAAAAATATTTATACAAATTTTAAAATTTATCAAAACTCGAAATAAAACTCTAATCGAAGTAATGTAATCTAAACCAGTGTAAATGAACCAAGCTAACCAAGTGGCTTGAATTATCTGAAGAGAATAAACTCTTCGTAAAGAAATCTGTTCCCATCAGTGGGACGATAATGCATTATTAAGAAGAAGACAGGAACAAATTTATAAAAGATTCAATTAAACTTTTAAAATAAATCACTTTATTCTTACTTTATTTTTCCCCTTTTTCTTCCTAGTTGTGACTCGTACACCTTCTGTAGACACGTCCACGGTAACTTTTCGTTTCTTCACTCCTTTTGCTTTAAATTCATACTGAAAGTGAAAATAAGACTTTAAAATAAATAAATAATTAACACAAGAGAGAGAAAATGTTTTTGATATAAAATTGTAATGTGTATTAAATAGTTAGGACAAAAAGCATATTCGTGAACTTTATCAAAGTGTCTATATATGTATGTGAGTAAAACATGTGAATGGTATATATGCGGTGTATATTAATAAGTATATAGTAAGAACAAATTTCTGCTAAATTTGTACACGGACAGTGAAACGGAAATATGCAATCTGTTAATTATTTTATTATTATCTAAAAGCCCGAATAATTACATAAGGCCTAGAGTTAACGAACAATTAGCCGAAGTAGTTAATAAGCTAAGAGGATTTTTATTAAGCATTTATAATGTCAAATTAGATATTTCTGATCTCATCTAATGAGTGTTTAAAAACACATACATATCTAAATCAATTTTTAACAAACTTATTTCTATACCACAAAGGTGGTAAATAAGCATACAGCCTATCTGATGATAAATGCTTATTGTAACCTATAAACTGCTTAATAGATTAGTAATTAATAAAAAATAATAAAAAAATATTTTGTGTAATGTATTTCTTGTTATTTAAATAGTATAATATGTAGTCGTTGTCACGTATGTTTCTTTTTCTAAAAAATGCAACGAATTTTATTATAATTGTTATGATTATAAGTTAGGTCGATATATTCACACAGTTAAATTTATTGCAAGATAATTTCATAAATAGACAATATTACAAAACCTAAATATTTATAGACCAATATACAAGTAAGCTTACTGCAAACATTGATGACTATTAATGAGAATAAAGAAAAAATCTTGAATAAAGTAAAATCTGAAATCAAAAGCAGCTATTCATGTATCTCTTCACCAGATTCTATTTCTTTATGATGTAGCCATAGAAAATCCGACTGCTGTATATCTTTATTATGAATTGTATCTTTGACGGAATTCGGATTAAACAAATTAGTTTTTTGCAGGTAATTCTGCGTAAAATTATGTTTCCACACACTTAATTGTGTCTAAAGTAAAAGTTTATACATATTTGTTTATATACGAGTGTTATAAAAAACGTATCTGGAATTTAAAGCTTGTGTTTTGCCAATAGGTTTATGAAAAATACAATGAATAATATAAATGAAATGTAAATAAATCAAATTTCGTATCGCTACTACAAGGTTTATCGTTCCATTTTGGATATAATCTCAAACATAACCCGATTATACGCACCTCAAGTACCTACTTATGAATAAAAGCCTCCGTCAAGGTGATTGAATTTAAAAAAGCGCCAAGAATCCTTATCGCTCTGATGTCAACATTATGCAAAAGGTAATAAATTTATCTGTTCAGGATGGCGGTTTTTATTCTGTAAATGTGGGGCAATGCGACTCATTTATATTCAGGCGGAGAAGGTGCCATGAGGCTTGTCATATTCATATTTCAATGTAACACGATCGGTCCCGTTTTGAGCGGCACGCTTCGCTTATGTGATAATAATACTCAACTTCGAACCCTTGCCAATTGATCTTTTAGGAAGACTTTTGTCCGGTCAATGTACAATTGGTCTGTTTTGTTTGGTAACCGTAACCTTGATACCTCTAAACTTTTTTGTTTTTATTACTCACAAACTTTTTAACCTTTCATCCGCAGTACAGCGAACAACATCAAATTACATTACCTTTTTTGTTAATGAAAAAAAGTAAATTGTTTATGTACCTATCGCGAAAGTATATTAAGCATAAACCCATCTGATTTACGAATTTATGTAAACCATGTATGCCAGGTAAACTAGAGAGCTCCATATGCGCATTGCGGATCAGATATGCATGATAAACCCATATTACTGCGGAAAAATCACACTGGGAAGTTTCACAAGTGATGTGTTCTGTTACAAGCCAAAAAGAAAACACTTTTAAAAACAGATTTTATTTGAAATACCCAATATATATTTTTATATAATATTTTTTTTATGTTTTTAATGGAGATTGAATTATGGGTGACACAATTAATGCCTCCATAGCTAAAGTAATGAGTTAGCATCAACATTTTTTTATACAACTTAGAATTGCAAACAAGCTGACGGCCCACCTAATGGAAAGTGGTAACCGTCGCCTATAGACATGGGCAGTATCATGGACATAACAGAGTATACTGTTTCGCCCATAATACCCCCCATGCGTTGCCATTCCTGAGGACTCAGGTGTTATTCCTCCGTATCCAGTAAATTCACGCCATATCCCACCCTTTAAACCGAAACACAGCTATGCAAATACAACTGCTTTACGGTTGAAACACGAATGGGACAGAGGTACCCAAGCAATCGACTTTTGTACAAAGTGTCCCTCTGATAAATTCACATTCGCGCATTGTTTAGCATTACAATTCGTGATCATTTTGTATCGTTAGTTACAGTATTTACATGGCAAAATAAGTATATATTTACAAAACTTGTGGTAACAAGATGGTTTACTGGCTATTATGGGTTACTGGATATTAGACTTGGATTTGTCAGTTTTGGTAATGGAATAATAACCTAGCCTGCGTTAACGTTACGCTGACGGGGCATCAGTATAAGGTAATAAATGAGTATAAAAAAATAGGTCAGTTAACCTTGATACACCTGGAATTCAGCATGATGGTTTCCAGGTGGAACTGCGTGGAAGTCGACCTGATAGGATTGTTAGCAATGAAGCTGATAGCCCGCATTACTAATCATTCCTTCTCCCCAGTATTGGCAGTTAAGTAAGACTATACACTTCTCGTCATGCAATGCTTATTTATGTTTTACATATTCGTGGCCTTATTGTAAGCCGCGGCTTGAAGGATTGGTCTCATCGGCTTACAAAACTCAACCTATCCTGTTCACATAAAAGGGAAATTGTGAACAAAATCTCCCTAGAGAATGCCACCGAAGTCAGTTTCTTATAAGTTCACATCGTAGAGTCGACGTTAACAAATTAGTTTATTTTGAAACATTGGCCGTATCTACTAAGACTTTTGAAGATTTTAAGACATTCACAAACTTTTGTTTTCAGTTTTTTTTTTCTTTACTACAATTTACTTTTCGTGTCGTGTATTATGAAGGTAATTTGATAAATAAATTATGAAGTTATTATTCAATAAATACTTTGTTGTTACGTAAGATACGAGTATCATGTAACTTTTTTTTGTTAGTTTATTTTGAAATATTTATACATAAATATACTTAAAATTTTAAAGATTTTACGATATTTACAAAACTTTTTTCTTTTTTATTTAGCTAATTTGATGAACATGTATGATAAAATAAATATTTTGTTGTTACGTAGGTAAACATGCTAGCAAAATTTTTCTTTTTTATGTCTTTCTTTCTCTATTAGTTTACTTTTTGTATCATGAAGTATGAAGCTAGTTTGATAAATGTAATGTAAAGATACTCGTATGATAGAATCTAATGTATATCTACAATTGTTGCAGAATAACATGTAAGCGAGCATATCACACTGATTTTAAGTGGCACCATCTCCGTCTGAGAGAGCAAAGTAACGCATTCACTTTATTGTCGCTTCGTTTAAGGGGACCATAATCATTTCACTTAATTATTAAGTGTCTCATAATCTCGCAGATTATCTTGGGTGTGGATTCTTGGGAAGTGATATCATACATTATAGACAGTATAGACGCAAGATGTTGCAAAAGCTTACGGAAATGTGAACATTTTGAGCCGAGTTTTTCTTTTTTGTATAATACATTCATTAAAAATGTAAAAGCTGGAAATCTTTTGAAATTTTTGTTGATATTTGCAGTAAATTTACATGTATTTGAATATAATATATTTGAATTTAATATATTTTGTTGGTAAAATGTTCTCTGCAATTAACTTCAATAAAGATAAGTTAATTTATTGTTTTGTTTTATGAATTTTAATTTTGTCAGTGACAAGATATTTATATTTTATTTTAATTATATAATATAAATAACTAAATGACTTTTTATTATTCATAAATAATGTTTAGTCGTGAATTTCTAATTTACGACTAAACAATATTTATACTTTTTTAGTACTTTTATTAATAAAGTATTGTAACATATACGAGTATTAAATGGGTATATAGATATTATATAAATGCTGCTTTCTCCAATTTTATAAAATTTGTTTTGTTATATATAACAAAACAAATTTTATAAAGAGGAAGCATTATAATGCTGTATACGATTTCCCATATTTTTCTCATATCTTTTTTATATCCAAAATGTCCTAAAAATTAATCGTAAATATAAATCATGATTGAATTATGTTAGGTAGAGTGAAACAAATATTTAAATCGTATAATTTAAACTCCGGACATAAACCATTAATGAGTTTGAGGGTTTAGCTTGAGGCTTTGTTTCTGCGTATATTTCTAGAAACGAAAATACTAACGTTTCCAAACGGTAGTGGAAATCGGATATTTGTGTGTATAATTGTATTTAACACTTATTAAATCCTTAACGAAAATGATAGACTGATTTTGACAGAAAAGTATTTTGATATCATTTTAGTCTTACACTAGTTGTATTTACTATTGTATTGTATTATATATTGGGCATATGTAATTATATAATACTCATTGAATAAACGGCCCGTACAGGCAAATGCAGTATTATGATTTTTTATTCGTCCATAAGTTTTAAATGCCTGGACAGATTTGGGTATATGACATATTGTAAAATCTCTATATCATTTTAAGTGACACTGGCTGTATTTTTTAAATAGTTTTTCTTTTGTAGTGGTTTTCAATATGTGGAGTAAAATGTAATTGTTTATATATATAGGAATATAGAGGAAGTTTATATATATATATATATATATATATATATATATATATATATATATATATATATATATATATATAGGATATATGTAGGAACCATATAATTGTTTTAATCTGCGTTTCATGTAAATCAATTTAATCGAATGTTCAGGATTATACAACGAGGATTATATTTAATAGATTTTACTTGCAAATGCACCAATACTTACTCGGACACGACGCATAGCAGCTACGATTTCAACACGACTTGTAGGCCGCGGTACATCCATAGTCCCGATGTACTGTGAACAAATAATAAATAAATGTAAACGAGACACGTAAACATGGAAAATACTATAAATAAATACTCGCAATATACTAATAGAAAATATTATTATAAAATGATTAATTATTATGTATAAGTTTAAGTAAATGTAAATAATTGTATTAATGAAAAAATATTCCAAAGTTCTTGTCTAACCTTTAATTGTTTACTGCTGAACATAGGTCTCCCCATAAGGTGGGTTTAACTATTAGTTGCCACATTTGGCAAGCAGGTTGGCAATCGCAGTTAGAATTTAGTGATATTTCAAGAGTGACGCTGCTGCCTTAGTCGCCTCTTCTGACAGTCACGGGAAAGGAAAGCGTAACGTATCGATAATAAGTAATTCTTATAAGTTCTTTTTATAAAGAGGATGTTGTTTTTTTATATTACGAAGATGGCATATTGTCTATTATTATTTTCTATGACTAATAGAAATATAAATATATCATTATAATCGTAATATAATATTAATAATTATATATTTGATCAGCCCACATCCATTCACTACTGGGAATAGTCCTTCTTTTTCTCTCGTCACTTATCACGTTACTGTACAAATATTGTTCACCATTTATATATGAATGATCCGCATAATGTGGCTCTACTAAAAACGATTAAAAAAAAAGAGAAGTAACAATAAAGTTCTTATAAGGGATTCATCAATTCAGTTTTTACAAAATTAAAACACTAATAGAAAACTTTATACGAAACCAATCTAGTAACAAACCAAGTATTAATTCTCTAATACGAAAAGATTAAAATCCAATGCTTGCAAATCGTGAAACTATTAATAATATAGATCGACGTACGGGCAATGTACACGTAATAAACTTATACATCATTACATGACACTTGCTGAATTTCCAAGGGTTCGGTTAAATCTTTCGTCTAATACAGCTTGCATATCACGTACCTACCTAGAACGGTTGGGTGTGAGCAGCATAATAATAGGATTATATCAATGTCACAGACCCGGTATAATTTATTTAAATCGATATTTAATTCAAAAGGCTACGAGGTACTTAATGGCAACTATTATAAAAATTATAAAATTGATTTTTCGATTAGGTAGTAATCTATTTAACATAACTAATAGTTGAGTCTAATAGAAACTCCTGGGTATTCGTAGATTAGGTGATCTTTGAGCAACGATCATTGGGAAACAAGACGGTGTAATCTGAATTTCAAAGTCAAGCCTCCGAGCGTGTATGGCTCTAGGCGGTTTTCAGTTAAGAATTAGGGAATTGGTTAAACGCATACCCTCGCAGTACGGCGAACTACATTGACCCCAACCCATGTCGCATTGCGTTTCATTTAGTATTCGCAACTGAGGTTTACATGCCTCAAAAATACGCCTGAGATATTAACGCCACAGTCGAGCACCATGACTTTTTTTCTGTTTGAAACACTGACCTTAAATGTTACTATTTTAATAAAATTGTAACTAAACGACGTCTGTACATGAAAGTTATTTAAGAAAAAAATATATAAGGCATCTTAACATTGACATCTTAACATTGGGGTCAGAACAAATTTTATTAGAAATTTTGTCTATCTGTCTGTCTGTCTGTCACCCTATATGTTTGGTCCGAAATCACGCAATAACTACTGCACCAAATTAAATAGAGTTATTTTCCTGAAAATCAAATTTAAAATCTGTTATATGTTTTGTTCTAATAAGCTATCTAAAATTAGTATAATACCACGTATATGAAGTAGAGGACAAAAAACTAGTTTGCAATAATATTTACTGCTCAAAAAAGATATGTAGTTATGTTATATTACGTTATGTTATATATACAACACGAATGTGATAAAACCTATATTTTTATTCCTATTAGCATGTATTTTTTGGCACGTTAAAATTTTATATTATTAAAATAAAACAAAACAAAATTTTGTATTTCGGTGAAATTCCATTGACTAGATTTTTTTTTACAAATCCTTAAAAATAAATTCTAGATATGTGTTTATTATAAGTGAAAATATAACAAAATAATGCCATCAAATATAAGTATTTTAATGGTTTCCAAACTTATCTATTACCTGTGATTTATCATTTTATTCATAACTAAAATGATAATTTCAAAAGTTATGTGGATAGTAACTAGAAATCGTTCATTTTTAGATAACATATCAAAATAAAATATACATCAGTTTTTAAAATAGTCTTCCAGGCTTACAACAGTAATAACGGCGTTTAATTTGGCGCAGTACTCTATTGGATGACACCACAATACACATATAGATAGACAAAATAAAAAAAAAATTACCATAGCAGTCGTTAACTGTTCACTAATCAAGTCATCTTTATAGAGGAGATCTAGGTTCAATAAACCTCCCCTATAAGGGGGGTTGACAGTAGTTGCCACACTTGGCAGGCTGGTTGGCAACAACAGTTAGGTTATTGTGATGTATTAAGAAGGACACTGCTGTCCATCCCTTGACCATTAAGTTAAGAAAGAAGAAAAAATATTACTTTTGCTTATACTAGTCCTATTAAAATCACTTACATATTTTTTTTAATATCTTCCATAAATAGACATCGCCCAGATACTATTTTATTATATTAGTAAGATGTTATCTAGCATTCCATTAGGATAGTCGTAGACGAAATTACATAAATGGATAGATGTTACTGAACAACTAAATTCGTTTCCACGTAAAACGAATCAAAATGGATATTTTATAAATTCATTCATAAATTTAGCTCTAATAATTTTGTTTATGGTGAAAATTCATGTAAAGCTCACAATCATATGGTTGCCTTTACCTTCCTGTGTTTGTAGGACCAATATGATAGTTAGAGCTTATAGTTTAATAATATTTCTATAAGTAAATCCCATTAATATGATAAAGGCGAAAGTTACGTGCATTTATGCGTGAATAGATGGCTAGAAAGTATATAACTTTTATATTTCATAAATACTTACACGACAGCCTAGGCGTGTACAATAATACATCAACTGGAAAAATTTACACGTTAATCATTTACAAAGATATTTTCATGTAAAGGTTAGGCATTATTAATTATGCGAAATGTGGTGGTTAGTACACATCAAAGACCCTCATAATTAATCAGAATGGGATCAAAGTAGTTTCCTTCTCCAAGCTTGCTCTTGAAGATAAAATGGCACCGCCCCATTACTATAACTTGAAATACGCCCGCCATACATATACATATTATATTATGATAATATTTAATCTTAGTATACAAACTAATAATTCTTACAAAACATTATAATAATATTTAATTGTAAGTGTTACCTCTTGACGTTGGCATAGGTATATAGTATAGTAGGAGAATAGGGGATTATTAGTAATATGCAATAGTGGCCCCAATACTAACAGTATAAGGTCAGGTATCAACCTCCACGCGGCCCTTCTTGGAACTCATCGTGTATCACAATGTATATTTATCGCAATGGGCTAACTGACCTCATTTTCTTCTCGCCTATCATTCTTCACTGGTACTTTGCCAGCGTATATCGAAGTGCAAGGAAGTAATGCATTTTGCTGTACTTTAGTCTCTTAAAAAATGATCATGGAAAGAAGTAGGTATCTATACTACATTTTATTGCAATTAATCAATATGTTCAAGTCATTTTGTTAATGGATGAGAATGATCTGGTAACTCCACCTGTCCTAACGGCGGACTACCAGTACTGTATATAATACTGGCGGAGTACCAGTAAAGGATGACAAGTGAGGATAAAAAAGTAAGTCAGTAAGCCCATCGTAATGAATTCACTTGGAATTAAGCTCGATGATTTCCAGAGGCGACCGCAAGGAGGTTGATCTGATAAGGTATATTGCTAGCAATAGGGCCACTAATCCCCATTACTAGCAATCCTCTCCCCCTTTTCCAGGAGATTCTTTATTGAACGATAATGGAATGGTAACCCCGCTTGCACTATTGGTGAACGCTGGCGGGGCACCTGTGATAGGTGATAGGTGAAGATAAAATCAGGTCAGTTGGCCCATCGTGACGAATTCTACAAGAATTAACCACGATGGTTTCCAGGGGAAACTGCATGGCGGTCGACCTGCTATATTATGGTATATTGCTAGCAATGGGGTTGTTAAACCCTATTATTAACAATCCTTTTTTCCCCTTCCCCCCTTTTTTCTAGGCATTAGGACGAAGTCGCGTGCAACAGCAAGTAATAATGTATTTTCACCATCAACCGGATTATTACGGCAATGTAAGATTAAGTAGGTTTTTTAAATCTACGAGGTCTCTCTAGCAGAGAGACCTCGTAGATTTATTTATAAGTTATTTACTAGGTATTAAAATATAGTAGATTTCCTCTTCCTCGAAAACATTTTAATAGTGTTTAGTGGAACTGAAAATAAATATAGAAAAGACAATAAAAAAATGGATATTTCTTATAACGCATTTAGAATATTGTGTACTTTTTAAAAAAAGATAACAAAATTTCCAAGGAACAAACCTAGGTATTAAAATATTTCTCTATTTATGTATGTGTGAGTATATACACAATAAACTAAAACTTGCGAAGTAAAAAGAAATAACACTTATTTATTAAACTATGAAGTAGGTATGTATAATATATATACGTATATACTTATTTATTTTAATGACTAATAGTCATTATTGTTTGAGAGAATTACATAGTATGAAAATAAGATAATTATGATTGTGTTCCACAAAAAAAGCCCACCTCAATTGTGGCAAAACCAGTTAGTTTGATTAAAAACTAAACTACTGAACTGATGTAGATAAAATTTCTAAAGAACTAAATTGTATGTGTAATCTTTCAGATAAAAAATAATTTTCAAATCCATTTACAACTGGCGGAGTTATGAGGTAACAACCATATAAGAAATACAAACGAACTGAAAATTCGCTTCCTTTATAAAGTTCATGCTCTATGTCCACTGCTTGTTATAAATTGTAACAATAACACAAGCAGTGGACAGTAGTAGTACGTTATAAAAAGTAAGACAATGTGA